GAGACACACTCAGAACACGAAAATGGAAAAAAATGATGTATGAAAATTTTGATCTCAGGGGCACTTTAAGGATAGCTGTCTTCAATTTGTTGAAATCCAAATCCTTTATACCTTAACTCCCCAAGATCTGGTTCTCCCCTTGAGCTGCTACACATTTCTTTGTAAATTAGTGATGAGACTTTGGTTTTAGATCAAGAAAACAACTTTTATACGAAAAGCTTGAGTATTCTCATTATCTGTTTACTGGATAATGTATGAATTTTGTAAGGAGAAGTTAGATGTTTATCACTTCAGGGTGTCAAAGGGTTAACTGTCCAAATCAAAAACAACAAGAATAACAAAATTTAATCCATTCAAACCACCGAGACCAAGTCTTGTATATCATTGAAAGCAATTTCTGTCAGTCAGTTTAACAGCAAGACAGTCTTTCATAGAGGAAGAGGCATGAACATAAAAACCCTACATTTAACTTTAGGTTCTTGAGAGAGTCTTAAAAATAAAAGAGATGAATCTTCAAACAGAACTCATTGCAGTGGAAAACCAAGGACTTCAAGGTAAGTTGAACTTTTACTCTTGTGTATTTAAACATATGTAAGTTCCGCCAATATAAGAGTTTTAAGTATTTTGTCCATAATGGGCTGCCAATGGTGTAATATCTGGCTGTGCTTGGAAAAGGGGCTATAAAAAGGTAAGGTAATGTCTGATCATGAGGCAAGTGGCTATTCAGGCCAGCTAGTGCTTAACTCAGGTGTCCTTAGCATGAGGCAACTAGGAGTATTTCTACTCACCCCTGGATGGGATGCTAGCCCATTTTAAGGTTACCCCCCAGCATGAAATTTGCTGGTACCATTAAAACACCTGAGTGAAGACAGGTACTGTTAGAGTAAAGTGTCTTGCCCTGCAAAGAACACAACATGATGTCCACAGCCAGGACACGAACCAGGACCACTTGACCTGAAGTGAATTAAGTGCACCAACCATGAGGCCATTGTGCCTCTCAAAGGGGCAAAACCCAAACAGGAGAGCCTCCTTGCAGGCTAAACAGACAGCAGTAAGAGGTCTTTTTTGTGTTAGTATGCCACTGATAATTGGCTTTTATTCCAACTCCTGCAGATTGAAACATGTTTATGTGACTAGCATTTAATTCTTTCACTCCCAGCAGTGATCGAAAAAATTAATACCTTCTCCTTACAATATTGACTCAATATAAAGATAAGTAATAAGAATATGGAAAGATATCATAGAGGGTATTGTCATGTGATTCAACACTAAATTCTCAGAACCAAAACTATGGAGAATTACAATTTGGAGAGATCTTGGGAGAAAGGGGTCAACAATATTTTTATTTTCTATATAATGCTAAATATCAGTGCTTGAACTTTGGAAACGCTTAAAATGATGGCTAAGAAATGCTCAAAATTGCTGTAACTGCCTAGATGGAAAGTTGGGAATATTGGCTATGTTAATGGTGCTTTTATTAGTCTAGCCAAGTTTTTTTTATTTGATGAGGGCTAGATACTAAGGATAGCCGACTAGCCACAGGCTAATAGAAATTCAGTTTTGGTTAGTGGTTTTTCACTTTCCACTATCCAGTTTGGCGTGTAAAGAAACTGAACTTGTTGTCAGTAACATCGTTGAAAAGTTCGTGTGTAGAGGTCTGTTGATAGTGATTTGAATTTCATTTCAGTGACATCAACAGATCCCAACTATACTGATGCTCATCTTAAAAATGAGGTATAAGAGACTTCAAGTATAGTTATGACTACCAATTCTGTGTTAACTGTAAAAGATGCAGCATGAAGTTCGTCAGTACATTATCTTCTTTTGTACACTGTTCTGAACCTCAGCTTTTATTATTAATAGTATTATAATAGTACCTTTAAATGTTGATGTCATCTACAGTATGAACTAGCACTTGCATGTAATCTATCACACATTATTAACATTATTAACTAAAGTAGAGCGTGCACTCTGATTGGTCCATTTGTTGACCACCATTTGCCCATGGGTGTATGCATGCTGCTGACGTGAGCAAATGTAAAGACCAGTTTCTGCATTTTTTTTGGTCATGGAAAATTTCAGTGTTAATTACAAGGGAACTCCTTTGCTACAAATTTGTATCAATGTAAGTTATGTTCCAAAACAAAATTAATGGTAAACACCACAGCATACACTATTGTGTTATGGAAGCACTTAGGAGGTTTGCTAAGGACTCAAGAATTTGAAGCTACATGTAGAGGTGCTCTCAGCCATCACCTTGGGTGACTCTTAAGCTTCATTGTGCTTAGCAACCTCCAGTGTGCATCCATAACTCATTAGTATACGATGTGGCGTTTACCATAATTTGTTAAGTATTGTTCTTAGTTTTGTTTTACTCAGCCCCTGATTATTTAACTTAGTTGCTGACAAGTATAAAGCAGCTGGAAGAAACTTTACAACTCATAAAAGGACAGCACAAACAGGTGGAAGATCATCTGAAAAGGTGATGTTTCAGTATTAGACCTGGTAATATTTAGGGGGTGGATAAAGAGGGGCATGATTAGACAGCACCCCTTCTTCCCCCTTCCCCTCCCCACCACTGTCATGTATATTACCACTGTCATATATATTAATTTAACATTTGTTGTTGGTTGTCATCCCTGCTTTGAGGGTTTTTCCTCAGGCTTTCCCTCTTTAAAAACCAACTTTTCAAATTCCAAATTTCACTCAGAAAACAGACTGGACAAAGAGCTGCATATTGGAATTGCCTTCTGTAATCTTTCTGTTAAGTTCCAATTCTTTGTTTATTCATCTATTTTTGTTTAAATTGTGTTTACTTACCTCTTAAATCTTGGTATTGTATACATCTTTAGTCGTCATTGGAGGTAGGAGTGGGAAAATACATGACTTGATGTGTGTGTGGCTGGAGCACAGGGGGATCTGTGCATCCTAAGCAAGTGCCAAATACAGTATTTTCCTGTCTGGTCCAACCAAACTCAGCCAGTAACTCCTTCATCATAAGCCCACTCCTTTTTCTTTTTCCTCCTTTTTTCTTTTAGCTTGTGGCTCTCATGGCTGGGAGGCTTTTTCCAGTACTGCTTAGGCCATTACAAGTTGTCTTTGCACAATTTTAATTCCTTAATGAAAGTGCATGCTGGGCTATAGGGGTCATTCGTGTATGATAATAATTATGAGTATTATACCTTAGACTTACTATAAAAATCTGATTGGTGGGGAGTGTTCAATTAATATGCAATTTAGGGTGTGAAGTTGACATGTGGACTAATATCTGCAGTGGATATTGCAGTTATCATGCCTTATTTTGAGTTTAAAGTCTGCTTAGTTTCAAAGCTCCTTGTCTGTGTAGTGTTCTCAAACATTTGCAAATTCAGAGAGAAGGGTTTTCTTTTGCAGGTTGTTTAATTAAAAAATGTATAGTTACTATAAAACAGTTATTGAATCATGAGTTTTCAAACCTTGTTTCTGTTATCTGCCTCAGCCTTTAGCAGATAACTCAGAGTCTGGTTTTGGTTTTTCTGATTATTGCTGAGCATGCAGGTTCTGTTTGTTAATTAGTCTCTGTTGTTTGACAATTATTACTGTTACTTGAAAACAATTATTTGTTTAATAATTAAATGTATGCAACTATGTTGCAAAACTGATAGAGAGTGTTTTACTGTGATATTTAGAGAAAAAGAGCTTCTACAACAACACCAGGAAGTGAAAAAATCTCTACAGATCAAAACTGATAGACTAGAGAAGGAGAAAGAAAATATTCAGGGTGCAACAAGGTAAGAATGATTAAATGTAATGGCTTGAAGTTATTTAAACCCTTTACACCCTAACATCAGTATGCATATTCTCCACACTGTTCTGTATTGTTTCCTAAGGTGCTGGCAAGGAGAATTTGTTTGACAATCAAGAACTTCTTAAGCTGATCATTTTCTTTATCCTGACCTATAACCATAATGTTTGATTTAGGGGGGGGGGGGATGTTGTAGCGAGGAATGAGATGCTTGTCACTTTTAGGAGTCAAAGAGTTAGTAGAGACTTTTCAAGATTGAAATCCTCGTGTAAATAGTTAGGGTCAAAATTTAGATTTTAAAACAAAATTATACAAACGAAAGTTTAAATTTGTGCAGGGCTGTGCTCTAAGAAAAATTGATGGGAGCCCGGTGTTCTGAGACTGTGAAATCCAGGGTGCCCAGCATAATTATGCTTTTTGAGAAAAAACTAAGACTCCTGAGTCGCACAAGAGCAAAAGTAAGGCACCAAGGGCCACTGGGCACTGATAGACCAAAGCACTGTTGTTCATGTCTTTGAAAAAGCTGGATCAAGAAAAACCAAAATATAAATGAAAGACAAAGATGTTTGATTCACAGGTGCTACCATAAGCCTGATAAAGAAAAACCAAATATAAATAAAAGACAAAGATGTTTGATTCACAGGTGCTACCATAAGCTTGATAAAGAAAAAACAAATATAAATAAAAGACAAAGATGTTTGATTCACAGGTGCTACCGTAAGCTTGATAAAGAAAAAACAGAATGATATAAATAAAAGACAAAGATGCTTGATTCACGGGTGTTATTGTGAGGAGAATTAGATGCTAGACACTCTGACATGTAGGGTTCAAAGGGTGAAGACAGAGTTTAAAAGCCATATATTGAATTCCACGAGTCAAACCTATGTTTTCAGTAGGTTGAAGTACAATCATAAAAAATTAAAATTAAATAAATTAAAAATAAATATTATTTTCTTGGAACCCTCATGGAGCTGTCATGATTTAAGAGCCTTGGCCACTGTGGGGAAATTAACAAGAGTGTAGTTTTTTCTTTTTGTCTTAGGAGGGATTACTCCTGCATGACTGGAATGAAATAACTCAGGTGTACAAAATTAATCAAATATTGGACAAATTCTCTCAGGTTGTGCATCTTCTGTAGTGTACTGTATGTGCATGCTTCATAAAAAGCTCAGAGGGAACCCACTTTTGGGTCAGTTTTTAATGAAATTGCCCCTCTGCTGCAAAGCGAATCAAATGCTCAAGTGTTAGTGGTAATGTTAGGGCTGGGTGGGTGAGGGCTTCTTTGGAGTTATTTGTTATTTAGAGTGATCAGCTTGCATTCTCCATTGCACACACTGTACCTTCAGTGGACACCAGGGGGTTCTCATTTATAACATCAACCCAGAGTAAGGGATCTTTTGTCCTTTGTAACACATTTACAGATACATTCATAAGAGGATTGTATTGTTTGTTGCCATTGCAGCCAAGTGAAGGAGCTGGAAAGAAAGAAGAAGGCTGCAGATGCGTATTTTGTTGAGATCATGAAGAAACTGGTTAGGACTATTGATTTCTTATTTGTTATCATGGGAGTAGCAACATGGTTCTGTGTTACAAATGTAAGTCCTAGGACTCAGTATCTCAAGGACTTGGCTCTGGTCTTGACAGGATGGAAGCTTTAAACTTCCACCTTACTTAAAAGTAGTGAGCACTGGCCTAGTGGTTATAGTTCCCAGGACTCAGCCTCTAAAGGACTTGGTCCAACATGTAATGAAAATTATCTTCTGTTACATTTTTGAGTTAACCCTCATAGTGCTTATCCACACTGAGGAGTAATAATATTGGTAAATGGCAAACTGTCAAGGTAACTTTATAATATGAGGGGGGAGGGGTGGGAAGGAAGGGGAAGGGTAAACTACAGTGGACTACAACTCCATCTGTACGCTGTAGGAGGATTACCAATACTTGTAGTAGTTTCCTTTTATGGGAACCAGGACATACCCTGGCAGTGAGTCATCCAACACATCCACAGGCTTTAAAATTGCTCTCCTGTAATGTCAATATGGACATGGGAAGCAGGTCATAAGAATGAAGAAAATTTTGATCAGCCAAGGATGTTGCCTCGAAATTCTACCAAATGTTTGGTGTTTTATACTTAACAATTATTCCACAAGCGTGCGTTGGATATGAGAAGATAAATAGCCAACGAGGCGCGTAGCGCCGAGTTGGCTATAATCATCTCATATCCAACAAGCGTGAGCGGAATAATTGTTTTAATAAAAACGTTAAATTAAACTATTAAATTTCATTAAATTTTTAGCTCTCTTAATTTTAAGCTGACACGCACGCTTACCATATTTGTAGATTATGGTATATTGGCTGATATACCATAATGGCTCAGCAATAAAAAGTCTAGAATTGCATTATCCAATGATCCAGTTTTTAATAAAGAGTATTATACAACTGGGGAGTTGCAGTTGTCAGATCATACCTCAAAGTTAATGTATCAATGATTATATATTAATCATGAATTTAAATCTGACTTATGTTTACAGCTTTAGGTTTTCCTTTGTTTAATTCTTTTTAGGGTTCTTTTTTGGCTGAAAACTATCCTCTTCCAACACCTGACAACTTGAAAGGAAGCAAGGTAAATGCCATTTCATGAATAGTAAAGGGTACCTAACTAACGTACGCAACCACAAGTTAAGGGGGCTTCAGTTAGAAGACTGATTTTTCAGGTCTTGATGTTGGCGATATGAATTAAGAATACCAGTTTCTTATTGGCAAAAGTTGTCTACTGCTATTATTATCATTCAAAAATTAAATTGTGTACAATTAATATTAACAATAATATTGTAACAAACTTTCGGAGTACACTTTGCTGCTTTTATGCCCTGAGTTACTTTAATTAATTTTGTTCATCATCAATTTTTCTTTCTTTTTATTCTAGACAAGAGTCCGTCTAGACCCTAATGTTAGATACATCTCGCTTCAAAAGTTAACTGAGGTACTTCTAATCACCATATTGTTCTCTTATGTTAGTTCTATTGCACACATAGCAAGGGCGTAGCCAGGGGGGTCCTGGGGTGCCCATGACCCCCCCTTGTTAGGCCTTCTTTAGAGCAAACAACCTACAATATCCATGTGGCGAAAACGCCATGACGATATCTTGGCTGTAAAAGCCATTGTTGAAAAGCCCACTTATTTAAAATGCTGCAATATTACGACTGAGCCCGCTGATACATGGGGGAGAGCAGCGGTGTAAAATTAATGGTGAGAAGCCTCTGTGACCCCCCCTTTGAAAAATCCTGGCTACGCCCCTGCATAGGGAACAGAATTTTCTGTCACTATCTGTATCATTAGATTTAATCTTATAATGTACAGTGAAGTGATTGAAAAAAATTTTTGTTTGGGTGGAATCTCTCTAATGCGCTTAATGGGTGTGATATCTGCTACACCACTCATCTGATCATGTCGGCAACATGGCAATCAAATAAAATAATGATATTAAAAAAAAAAAACAAGAAAAATAAATCTTTGGAATTTGGAGAGCTGTTTCTTTGGAGTGAGGAAAATTGGAGAACCAGGAGAAAAACCCTCTGAGCAAGGAGAAGAACTAACACTACTTGCAACCCACGCATTGGGGGATGATACTCTGGAGAGAGAGGCAAAATTTGCTAACCCTCTCAAAGATCTAATTTCAATTTTCTACAATGCTTGCTGTTTTTTGTAAATTTGGA